CTCAACCTGTAAATTCCAATAAAGTTACAATTATTAGTAACAATAATGGTAATTATCTAATTTATTGTTATATATATTTAACCTTAATGATTTATTATTAATAAATTATATATTTTAAATTATAGAATCTAAACAAATTGATTTAACTATGCCAGATTCTAAACAAATTGAATTAACTATACCAGAATTAGTCTCTTAGGGGGGTGTTGCATGGTGAACAAACACTCTTATTAATGTTAAAAAATTTTTCAATGATCAATCAAAGCTTTATATTTTGTCTATCTATTACTTTATTATAGAATTTTTATATTCAAGTATTTATATATATTGTTTAATATTTTATATATTTTTATTTCAATTTGTATTTTTATCACCTATGGTTGGATTGGTCTAAAGACCTCCTATTGATGTGCCATGTGCTCAAATTTCAAAAATGCAATAAAATTTTTCAAAAAAGGGTTTCACGTGATTTCGGTTAAAAATTTATTTCCTTTACTGCCAAATTTAGATATGATTATCAAGTATTAATCTAAACTTACAATGATCCTGGCGCATGAGCAAACGGGAGAGACCGTTATGGTAACACAAAATTTTAACCCGTGCAAATGTTGATTGACCAATCAAAATTGTGAATTTGATAATGTATTGATTTGATTCATTTTGTCAACAATCATTTCACCAACAATTGTTTCATTAACAAATGGTTCGAATTTAAGAAGTTGGAAGCAACCATGAAACAAACCTTTAAAATAGTCTAATAAATTAAATTGTACTACTCAAAAATGTTAGTTTTTGACTTGGTTGAAGAATAACTCTCTTCTCAACTCTTCTCTTAACTGTATCTCTCAATATAATCAAAATAGCTTTAATATAATGAATGTCAATGAAATGATTATAAGCACAACCAATTTAAGATATATGATTAACAATGTATGAAAAAATCAAAAAATTATTTAATAAAAAAAAATTTACAACCCAAAAAATGTTTTTTGCATGTTCTAATAAAATTTCCATTATTGCTGCATCATCTGTTGCTGATTCAACATTACCCAGATCATCATCAACTGTATTTTTGTTATTTTTGATAAATTCATTTTCATTTAATCTTTTTGTCATACTTTCTTTTATTTTGACTTGAATATAATCAGTCCAAGATATCAAGCATTTAGATTGGCACCTTTGTAGACAATGATTGTTATAACCATGTCCACATGTGAGTACACTACAATTATTCAAATTAATGTAATCATAATATACATAATTGCAAAAAATGTTTGTAGATGGTTTCCTTAGAAGTAACAAAGTTTTAGTAATAAAGGATACTGATTTTGTGCTTGATATAGTGGTAGTATCAGATTGTTTCTGGATGTGATAGTGTTCCATGTCGCAACCCAAAAAAGGAAACAAAATGGTCATAAAGGTGGTTGCAATCATTTTTATATGACACAAAGATGGTAGCAACCATCATCAAAAGTTGCAGCTGGTATCCTTAGGATGTGAGTCTATGATAATCATCAACATTCAATATGAATGCACTTTTTGAATGTTTTGTAAGTGCATTTTATACATATTTCTCATGTTTATCTCCAACTTGCTTCTTTTATGATCTACTGCTCTTGATGTTGTGATTGCTCCAAGACTTGTACTTAAAAGAGTTAATTTTGTATTATTTAATAAAACAAGAAGATAACATATGAACACCAATAATCTCTTCATATGGTTCATTGTTTGTTCATTACATTCAAATGGCTGAGCTGCTAAATAGAGTTGGTCAAAAAACCCCTTCAAGCTTGGTTCTATTTCTTTGTATTTCATCAAAATCATATATATAGGACCTTCTTTATTTGAGCATTCTCTTTCATAAAAGATTTTGGCCATCATCTTGATGACTCTAGTGAAATCAATCTTTTCACTTACCTCTTCTCTTCCTCTCCCCCTTCTTCATCTGTGGTTTTTACTCCACTAGGTCCTCTTTTTAAAGGATTTTCTACAAATTCATATTACAAATATTACATAAAATAACACCTTATTACCTTCACTAAGTTGTTGTTCTCAGCTTCTTTTCATTTATTGTCTTTCAGTTGACAAACTTAGGTGATTCAGTGGTTTTACATTCTGCAATATTTAATTTCAGGCATTCTTTCTTTGAGTAAATCATATTATGAAAGTTGTGGGATTCAAAGGGATTCAAAAAATATGATAACAACAAAGTGTAAAGTTTCAAGTTTGTATAATTATTTACACATGATTTATTGCAAGAATGGGCTATGTAAGACCCTTTTTTTAAACTGTAAAAAAATTGAAATCAATTGTGAAAATCTTTTCCTTATGCAAAACAGCCTCTCCTGTTCATTACAATAAATATAGAAAAATGATGTAATGTTTAGTGCATCACATGACTACCATTTTAAGTTTGTTCTAATTTGTCAATATTAACTGGACAATTAATAGGTCCACGGTTTAATTTTAAGATATGTGAGAGTTTATGACTATACATGCAGCCCAAATTGGTTTGGTGATTTCAATGGTCAAAATTATTTCAATTTTGATGGTAGAAAGTAGAAATTAATTATGGCACTCACTATTAAAAACATAAGTGTAACACCCCTTTACAACATGTGTAACCCCCTTTACAACAGTGTCAAAATACTTTGGGCTGCATGTATGGTTATGACCACCAATATTACCAAGCATCTAAAAAGAATATGCAGAAATGATGCAAATTGTTGGGATAATGATTCATCTAAAAGGCCAACTATTAGAAAACTTGCTCATGATTACAAAAGAAAAGTGAAGATTTAAAATTTCTACTACAAGAAATCCTTTTGATAATAATTCTCAGTCAATTCAAACATCACATGCATTGCCATATAATTTTAGCAGAATATTAGATGATGACATTGCCAAATCAAAAGAATTAAAAACTAATAATAGTTTTTTAAATGATCTTGAAATTTAAATGTTTCCCAATGAAATTTTTAATAATTGTAATAATACTAATGATAGAGTAGAAGTAAACTATATAAAGAATTTTTATTGATTGATATTTTTAATTGTTTAATTAATATTAGATTTCAATGACAATACTAGTGATTCTTGAAGGAAAGGAAACGAAGGGATCAATGATGTTGATGTAATTGATGAATTGGACAACGGAGTGGATAAATTATCAATGAACAACTAGTCTTCCATTATTTGTAGTTACTATTGTAGTTACTATTATATTTATTATTTATCATTTATTTATTTTATTTAACATATTAGTTTATATTTTTTATTTATTAATTAAAATAATTGGAAAACAAACATAATGTGTAAAAAAGTAGAAACAAAACGTGCATTAATTAATTATTCTTTTTGTATAGCAAGCACCTTAACGAAACCTTTCTATTATAAACAGAGGCATAAAAAAGCATTTGGAATGAAAGGTTTGCAATAAACGATAATATTAAAATTACTATTATCAAAATATCGAGGATCATTACAAAGTTGACTGTGACAAGCAAAGCTTATTATAGGTAAATTGGAACATTGAAAAAAGTTTATTGTAAATGATTTCCACTGTGATGAACAAAGTTAATTATAGACGAACTTGGACGTTGAAAAAAGTTCTCTGTAACGAGCTTTAACTGTATTGAAAAAATACTAATACTAAACATACGCGCTGATTTTGTTTGAACCCCAAAATCCAGTACGGTATGATCATAACGTTATGAATACTTTATACTAGCAAAAACCCATTGGTTTTGAGGTGGGGCCATTGGTTTGACGGGTTGATGGATAGTAAATTAGTTTTTTTAGCGGAGCAAATAATTTTTTTTAGGGTAATTATCATTCTACCGACCAGTTTACACATTAAAAATACTCGTGTTTAACATCAAAACACAATAAGACATAAGGTTTGAAAAAAGGCCCAAAAAACCAAATCGGCTGATATGATATATAATATGTAAATAGAAAAATATTTATTTTTGGATGATGTTAAAGTCAAAATTATCCATTAAGAAATCAGCCCATTAAGTTAAATTCTGATGAGCATAGTTAAAGCGTTGCACGCATTATGTGATGTGAAGAGTATTAAAAAGTACCACTTATGAAAAGTTCGGAATTTGATATAAATTGTTCATAACATCCAAATTTGTTAACGATATTAATATACATATTTAATTTCCGTAAACTAAGAAAAAGCCGTGTAAATAGCATTAACCGTAAATGATATTCTAAAGTATTTTGGTCGGGTCGCTTTAATTATTTTAATTGGTAGATCTCAATGATGTGGGGTTCAATACTCACAAATTAAGTTTAGCGCTAGGGATCTCATTTTTATAGATCAACAACATTTTCATGTGTTAATAATATTTAGACTTAATTGAAAAAAAAATTTTGTATGAAATATATAAATACGCATCGAAAGAAATTTCTTCGGGTGACAGAGTCAAATTTGGTAATTATATTATATTTAAAAAATAAAAAAAAAAATTTTTTTAAAAATAAAAATTAGCACAGGATTTCCTTCCTTTTCTCTCATTTAAACCAACCCCACCTCCAACCGCCCACCAACCCTCCAACATTATCGCACCGCATGAATTTCTAGCTTGAAAAAAATGAAAAACTCATTATTATCAACATCATTTTACCGCTTAATATTATTAATTATAGGAAATATTTTACTAATATTATTATTATTAAGTAAAGATAATAATGCATTGGCTTTGACAACCACATTAAACGACTTTCCCATTTCTTCATTATCGCCATCAGCAACACAAATACTCACCGATGGAGGCTGTCAAGCGCCATTATTACAAGTTTCCAATAAAACGGACGCCCATATCTGTCTTGATGAATGCTGTCTAGCTTGCCCATATTTAAACAATTTTTATAAAGAGAATCTAATCGACTACACCTACAAAACTTTTTCTGGTTTTGGGATAATTTCATTTTTTTTGATGATTTTATTATCTATTGGTTTTTTGGTTTTGCCAAGTCAACGTCAAAATCCTATAACAAAACAAATATTATTACCTTTTACTCTAAGTATTGCTTATTTCGAGGCTTCGCAGTTTTTCATTATTAATCAGAAACAAACTCTAGTAAATTAATCATATATATATATATTTGACTATTTAATTAAATTTTTTTATTTTCGAGAAAACTTTTTAAAAAATTAATTTTTTTTTTTAAAAAAAATTAGTGTTTGTCTGATAGTCTCACAACTACTGTTCATAATAGTAGTTCGTGTAAGTTTCAAGGTGAATATTAAAAATTATATTATTAAATTATTAAATTATTATTATCATCAATCATCATTATTATTTATTTATTTTCGAAAAATTTTTATATATAGCTATTTTTTCACTCGGAGGCGCATATGCTATGGGATATTGGTCGGCAATTTTAATGACACATTTACATATGGTAAAAATAAATATTTTCCCTAAAAAAAAATTTATAACTTCTTTATTAGCTCATTTTATTCACATACACACTTTATAAATAAATACAAGTTATCGATATGGCGTTCTGAATTTATCATGAGAAATATTTATTATTTTCATGGGTTGGCTTGGTCTGCAACATTATTATCAATTATAGTACCATTTTTAACAAATAATGTAACCAATGGAAATAATCTTTGCTTCATATCTAGTAGTGCAAGCCTATATTATTTCATATTTTTAAGTTTTATTTGTATTGCTTTCGTAGCACACGTATTTACTTTTGTATATATTGCTAAGGTATGTATGTATATATGTATATTATTAAATATGTTATAAATAAAATATTTGAAAATTTTCTAAAATTCTATTTTTTTTTTTTTTACAGGTTACATTAAGAGCAAATTGGAGAAGGTCTGATCAAACACAATATACTTCTAGAACTTCGATTTCTGAAGCACAAAGAGCTATCATACACGTCAAATACGTTATAAATGTACAGTGGCGTGCTTTAATGGGTGCTTTTATGATGTTAATTGTTTATGTGTTTGCTTGGGTAATAAGATAAAATTCTTAAATTTCGTTTATTGGCTCTTTGTTCGTTCATCAGTTCATTCGTTAACTAATTTACAATTTTTTAGGTATTTTTCTCATCTGGAACTCTGAGCCTTCGCGATGAAAATGATAATACTGTAAAAGATTGGGTGATTCAATGGATGAATTGTACACAAAACCCATCTTATTATGATTATGAATGTAATTCGATTTCAAAACCTCACGTGCAACCTTACGCGTTGATTATGTTTGCACTGTTTTTCAATGGTTGTATAGGAATATTGATGTTTATAGTTTTTGCAGCAAAGAAATCCATAATATTAGAAGCTTGGAAAATAATAAAAGGCTATAAATCAATAGCATGTTCTCATTCTGGTGAGGAAATTGGCTCGATTGGAACTTCAAGTATTAACTTTAGACGTAGCGTTGTATCAGAAAACGTATCTTCGTTCGAAGACGATAAAAAATCAGTCAAGATAACTCTCAAAGAATGGTTTAATAATTTATATAATAAATATTTAAAATGCAATGACTTGGCTTCTAAAAATAAATTTAAAGAGTTAGGGAATTCGATTTCAAATAACAACAACAACAATAATCATGTTGGCGGTCACACTACTATTGTAATTGGTAAAATTAGAGATTTCAGCCACATGATGGGAAGGAAAGATAGTATTAGTAGTGGTGTTGGTAGTGGTCAAGCATTGGGCTATAATAGTTATAATGACAACGAAGAAAGTACTTCTCGAAACATTCATAATAATAATGTTAACAACAGTATTAAAAAACCTCATTCTCGTGATAGTTCTTCACGATTGAGTATTAAAAGAAACAAACATGACAAATCTTCATCTGATTCATTATCATTACACATGTCAAGTATTTATACAAGAGCTTCAATGGTAATCGCACAATCAAATAATAACAACAGTCAAGGTGATGGTAATAACGATGCTAATAATAATGATGATGATAATAATATAATTAGCAATAGTAATAGCGATAATAATAGCGATAGTGATAAAAATATTAATAAACCACATATACAAGCTCCAGAAATGGCAAGGGCATCTTTTGGTTTAGGTAACAACTCTTTGTCGTCAGTTTCCTCCATATCAACATCAAATAGAAGATCTGATGGTAGTGACGATGGCGACACAAATAATTTACCATCATCTTCTTCATCAAAACAAGTTTCCAACACCATCACTATACCTGATAATGACGATGATACAAAAGATCTTCAAATTCAAGACGCTGAAAGCACAATGTTAGAATTTCATACTTCGACCAGCACATTCTTAGAATTTCATACTTCAACCAGCACATTCTTAGAATTTCATACTTCAACCAGCTCATTCAATGATAATAACGATATGAAAGATACGGATAATTCTAATGTTAATTTAGTTAGAACAGAAACGTTTGGAAGTGATGAGAAGAAGGAATGATTTTTTTATTGTTTCATCAATTATCCATCAATCATCCATCAATCATACGTAGAAATAATCTATTAGATAAGTTATTATGTATTTTGATAATAATGAAAAAGATATATATATTAAATATAAAAAAAACTAAGACTTCTGAATATGAAACGTGTGGGATGTTCGTTCAGAAGAGGGTTTTTTTAAATTATCTAGCGCAGGTTTATCAGAATACGAATTAGTTTAGTAAAAAAATTTAATTTAATTAATAACATATAATAATAATTAAAATTACAATAATAATAATAATCATTTAATAAAATACAGTATTATAAATAATATTTAACCAAATATTACGTTATAAGTATTTGAACAAACTCCAACAATTTTCAATGACCAATTTCTAAATAAAATATTATATTGACTACGACGAGCAACATGTGCTCCTTGATACATCGGTTGAACATCGATTAATCATTTCATACTCATAATCCTTTATACACTTCTCCCAACCTTCTTCATCCCAACTTAATAAAGAATGTGATAATACATACGCGTCTCCATTGCATTACTTGTGCCCAAGGAAAGGGCAGGGTTCATTGCGTGTATAGAATCACCTAGCAATGTAATTCGGTCAATTTTCCATCGTCCTACAGATTTTGGATCAATGACCCTTAATGGAAATTTACTTGGTGGGGGGTCGATAATTGCCAAATGAAAATTTTTTTGGTGATGGGTTTTCCGGAATTAAATCAATCAATTCTTTTATGATATCATTAAATTCAGAACTTTCATGCTTCTCCGTGATAATTCTTTTCAACCAATCAATTACTTGTTTAGGTTGATTATTTTTTTTTTGTTAAAAGTTTTACATTATCATCATTATCATAATCACAATGATCAATATTATCGTATGATGATGGGTAAGTATACGATAATGAAGTCGACAACGAATAGTATCATCTTCTTGAGAATCTTTTATTTCGTTCGGGACGAGTCTAAACGTTAAAACTAAAATATCTCCATGATTTCCTACCGATGTTTTAAATATATCGCTTCCTGAAGAAGTTTTGAATAATCTTTCAACACATGATACTCCCATATATTTTGTCCCCAAATTTGGTAATTTCTGCTTATAGTCAGTGCACCCCCCTTGGGAATGAGTGATAGCGTGCACTTAGAAGGGGTGTGCAGTTAGAGAAACAAAACATTTCATCGGTTGCACGTGACACAAATATAGAAAATTTTATTAATTATAACTAAACTAGAGCGACGACGAGTGGCGGGCGATAACCACCATCGCCATCCTTAAAACACTTACTCAATTCCCGTTTCCACGCGCTCGTCTTCTCTTCTTCTTTTTTGCTCTTTTCTCTTTGGTAACATTTTAGAAAAAGAAGTTTGTTTAATTGATCGACGCGTACACATTAATTATTTATCCTATTGGTTTTTTTTTTTTGGTAGGACAGACGTGAATTGATTTTTTTTTTTTTTTTGGAAAAACAAAAGACAATTTATTTTTTGACAGAGTCCAAGGTGACAAAACGTGAGTGTTGTTGTTTGGTTTGGGTTGGGTCTCCTAAAGAATACGTGTTAATACCTAACCAGAGGTGCTATTTTTTATTTGTATTGATATGTATGAGGTGCCTTTTATTTTAGTTTATAAATATTTTAATTGGAAATCAAAATCGATTATTCTTTGACGTACCACTTTTTTAGTGAAACTAGTTCCACTTATCTCGGTCAAAATCATGCGACACAAAAATCCCCTATGTATCGAGGTATTATTTTTGCATTTGAATTTTTTCCCACACTTATTGTAAAAACTTCAAATCTCTGTCTCATCAAAAAGTATATTAAGTTCATAATCTATAGGATTAATCATTTCTTCTATTTCATATTCCGACCAGGGATGCAACCACCCACTCTTATTATTAACATGATTGATACAATTTAATACATTGCCTCTTTCTCTTCTTCTGATTAATTTATTTCTTAACATACATCTTTCTACTTCTACTAGTTTATAGAAGAATTCATTACATTTCTCATCTAAAAATCTCATTTTGTTGTTGGGTTTTTCATAGTCATCAGTATCCATGCAGTCACTAAATCGCCTACTCTCTTCTTCCCAACATTGTTCTTTAAGCTGTATCCCCATTTATCTTACTGACACTGTTTTCTAATATTGATTTTTATACTTTTCACGCCTCATATGCAATTCAAGTTTCACTTCCTTATTCCAAATATGATTAATGCATAAAGCTATACTAAGACTAACCAATGGGAGTTTTTGAACGATTATTGCAATTGTATCTGGAAGCAAAAGTGGGTCATGCGAATGTATGTTATAGATGCTTTATAACTAGGTAGGTGAGTGGAACAAAGAGGTATAAATTACATAGAAAATTCAAAAATTTAAATAAAAATTCATTTGATTGAATTTTTTCATGCTTTTATTTACTGTATACAAAGCTATTTACTCAACACAAAACCTCCATTAAAATTCACATTTAAAATTGTCCGAGTTGACAAGATTATATTGGCTAATTATGGAAGAAGTTTCTCAAGGAATATACATACCTGCATGTGGCCCTCTGGAAATAAAACAAGTTAATGTTAAAAAGGAGACATTTGTAAGATACTGCAAAGTGATTATAGTGATCACGTAACAATTTTCAGACCAAAATGCTTTGATTTGATTTTATTTTGTGACAATGATGGTCAGAGCAAAGGCCTACCTGTGAATCCACTAGCAATTCGTTTGATAAGTCAATGAATAGGGCAAGATAGAATAGTTATTCCAGGACCTACTTTATTATTAGACAATTATAGAAAATTAACTCTTGATGATTTGCGCTTTTTGTTGAAAGAACCATTTGATATAGAGGAGGGAAAAAAGCTGTAAAAATGATGAATGATGCACTTAAAGATCTAAAATCACGTGGCATAAAACGCACTATAGTAATGTAATATATTAATGATACAATAGAGTATGAGCTGTATCTTTTTTCCTTGCATCTCATATAGGCTTAATTACCACGAACTATATAACTGCATACATAAACATAGGCGAAAAACAAATTACCTGCCACAATCGACACTACTTCACCCCCACAGATAGGTAAAATTTCTGAGATGGCCCCTCCCGAAAAATTTTTCATCTCTGATGCTTGTGAGGCATTGGTGGGAAACTCCACGTTAGTTTATTCTGAAATATTAGTCTTGATTACATAAATATGTCTCTCAATTCTAAGAATAATATATGTAAAACTCAAGGCAAATTTACTATGAATCCAAAACAGTATTTGCAATATCAAAACCGGAATAAATATGTACATATCATGGATGAGGAAGATATAAATTATCTTAAATAGGGAGACACAAGACACAAAAGCGATATTTGATTATGAAGAGGTATATGAATATCTGAAGGTAAATTCAAATTATTAAAATTTGAAAAAGTAGGATAGCAGGTCTATCTATATTTCTTGAAGTAATTATATTAGTTTTTTCTAAATAGCATACATAATAATATGGTTGAAAAAATCAAAATCCCGATGATGTGGACAAACTTTATCATGATAAAATGCAAATATCTTTGTCTTCTTTATTAACCAGTGCGATCAATGCAAATTACAATTTGTAAGTTTGTAAGTGAGGCATAAATACATAGTGCACACAATACTTTTTGAGAAAAACCAAGCACATGAATTGATTAACTGTAGTATAGTTTACCATACAGATATAATTTTATTAACAATAGTGCTAAATGCAAATAAAAAATATTTTTATATATCTGTACATATGATAAAATTAAACTAATTTCTAAAGTACCATCAATTTAATCCATTGACTATGCAAGAAGATAAGTTTCACCATTAGAAAGAGTCAGTGATTTAGGGTGTTCTTTCCTTTCTAGATTGACTTTTGTTAGCTTTTCTGGTGTAGTTTGAACTGAATCCACTACCTTGCATTGTCACCACCATTTGAGTGTTTATTTATCTGTTTGGCAGTTAAAAGTACATCGGCCTACAATAATAAAATCCAGTCACCATCAGTATCTGACGAGGGTGTCTATGAATATTTATTACCAATCCTTACTTGAAAATTCATCAACTGGGTCATATCTTTCGTGAAATTTTCGAAACCTTCAAAAACAACCGGTATTTTCATAAGTAAAAATTGATTCATCAAATAAACTGAAGGAAGTGGTCGAATTAGGTATTTAATATTGATACTCCCATCTGTGGAGAAAATATATATGTGTAAATAACTTTTCCATCATCTGGTTTCTAATTTTGATACTTACTTGCTGATTGAATGAGATATACTCTTGCTATTTCTTTTGGTATATTTTTTAGTAATTCATTTAAAGCTCTTTTTATATTTCTACTTAGTTTAGTGTGATCATTTACTTCTTTTTTTTGCTGTTGTTTTCCTTCTGGAGAATTCAATTAAAAGAATTGTCTTGCTATTTTTTTTTGGCTTTTATCACTTTCAAAATACCATCAAATTTATGCTTCTTAGTGCATTTTGTTCCTAGCTCAATCCTGAGTGGAGATAGAGGATTAGAGAAAATAATTAAATACTTTGAAATTCATAATTGATATCTACCATCCAACATCCAATAAGTCTCCATTCATATGAAATAACCTATTTATTATGTATATAGTCATATCTACTGCAAATGTTCATTCCAATTTAAAATACTCTGGTTCATGTGAAACAGGAGCCTCTAACCTAATGGAACTTTTAATAGAGAAGTCAAAAACAATATGGGAAGCTGACTCACATGCACAAGCAAGCACTTACCAGTGAGTAAGAACTTGCTGAGCTACATCATGATCTTTGTAATAATAAGAATCAAATCTTCCATTAATGAAATACTTATGGACAAGAGATGGGATCTGAACTCTATTGCATGCTCCTTCAGTAAATTGATCAATGTAATTTTTGAATTCTTCAGTTGGATTAAACACTTGCTTTTTAAGTATGTCATTTAGCCAACAAATTTGATCTTGATCAAAACATAATTTAATTGCTTTGTTTATTTCTTTATTGGAAATACCTATTATATTATTAAGTGTTGTTGATGTCATAATGGTCTTTCCTGATTTCGTCTCTTTTTCTTTCTGTTCTCTCAAAATTGTGTTTAGTTTTTCACAAATATCCACTTCATCCTATAAAATTAAGGAATGAATACAGTTATTGTACATAAAGGGTAGAAAATGCCAAAATACCTGTTTAAGACAGGGTTGGCCCATTGGTGGTCCATTAATGGTCCATTGGGTCCATTAGTGTAACATTTTAACTATATTTAGTATTTTATTAATGGCAATGGACCAGCTCAAAGTCCATCAGTTCTCAATGGACCAGTCAATTTGCCAACCCTGGTTTAAGACTCTTGATTTCTTCATTACTTTGTACTTCATCAATCACTTCTTCATCACTTTCTTCTGATTCTGAATCATATTCTGTGCTTACATCTTTGCTGAGTCTTGATCTGTGTGTACATCAAAATAGAAAAAAATTTGAGGCCAATTATTATTTATGAGTTGTATATAGTACTAACCTTCTTCGCCCCTCAAGAGAAATTAAATTTGAATCAAAAGTAGCATCAAGAGCATGTTTATCACATAAGTATGTTGAATTTGTATTCTGATCTTTGTAAGGTGAACACAGTTGATTTCCATAGAATTTGCCAGACTCATCAAATGTAAGAAGGGTTTCCTTATCATAGGTACTTTGAACTTGAAGCTAATATAATAATTGTAGAAATTTCTTTCAGGAAAGAATGCATTGATAAAATTAAAAAATTTTCATATTTCCATTGGCCTTACCTGTAGTCTCCCAATGATCACATTCTGCCAAAAAGAACACAGGTCGGAATTGGCATGCTCCAAGTTTACCTTGGTTAGAATAGAGCAGATAATTAGAATATGCATTTCATCATTCCAACATCTCAACAAACCAAACTGAAACATAATAAAGCAGGTCGCAATGGTGGGACCAGAGATCACTGATGCTCCAAGCACAGGTACTACCTGTCAAGGAGTTGCCTCACACCATCACTCGGGCAGAAATTACTGATACTCTGGATCAGGTAATATCTGTCAAGAGTTCCCTTTTGCACTAAATTGAAATAAAATTACCTTTTCTATAATACTATTTGAGTCTGGATCCAACTCTTTAGCCTCTTGTAGAAATCGTTTAGTCCATGAGCCATCAATGCCTTTCCATTTGTTTGTATATGGTGGTGAATTAATAATAGTAGTATGGTTCAGGGTTAGAAACTCCAAGTAAGATCAAAGTTTTGGGTCTTGCTCTTTCAAGTAGTTTACTAAGACTATCGAAAATGGGACATGATTAGTACCTGAAAGTTCTTTCTCCAGAATTCATTACTATACTTGCCTGTTCAGCCAATGTAAAATTCAGACATCTTGTTATAATTAATGTCGCACGACATACTGATTATTGTGGATCAGTATATAAATTTTGGTGTGTAACTATATAGTACAAATTTAGAAGCTATTTTACAAATTTAGAAACTATCTGCAGGAAATTACTAATGTATGACATTACATCCAGGCATTGCGGGCATTGAATTTTATACACTGTTGTGGATTTCTCACACAGTCCAACTCATTTTGCTCTGGATTTAAACATGAAATGTGAGAAGACAGGATTTCGAGAGAAAGGCAGTAATCATTCTCTGGCCATGTAAGCAATTATTTCATATTGTCATTTGTTTTTCTTTTTTCAAACTAATGTGAGAAAATTCCCATAGAATACATTCTTCTGAATTTTTCAATATCAAAGAATACATTAGAAGCAAGTATTACATATTTAAAAGAGGTTCATGGAGACACAAAAATTGCAAGTGTCAGAACAGTATCACATGATGGAGTGAATCTACATGTTTGATTATATATGATATAGTTTATTAGTAGAACTAGCTTTGCTAAAAATTATATGATAAATCAAAGGTGAGTGTCAAATATTCTATTCATGGGATGGGAAGTTTTCCACAATATATTTAACCTCATTTCTTCTCAAGTCTGAAAAACTAGAAGCAGTAAAGGATTTAACCCACTGAATTTTACTTTCCCTGATTTTACTAAAAATATCATAAATCTTTCAGGCTGTATCAGTTCTTTTGCATACCATAGCCTGACTGATGTCTTTCTAAAGTTTATCTTTAACTTTGCTGTTTAGCTTTGTATGTGCTGATTATGGAGGGTTCCTTTTTAATAGTATGGTGAGTCATTCTGATAAAGCCTTCCCAAAGTGAAAATAATATTGAATTACCTCCTGATTTGCTTGATCCCCCTTCTTTTCAACTGTCAATATCAGAATACAATTTATGGGATTGATTAGATACTTCTTCCATATTGGAATTTTTGGAAAGTGTGTTGATTGATGGTTCATCTGGAATTGAAACAGTGGATAACTCTTGAATGATGGTTTGCAGTTTCATGCTCCTAGGCTTGCCTTGATAAGTATCTTCTTTTTCTTGGATCTTCCTTTTCTTTTTAGGTGCCCCATGGATAGAAATCTTAGGTGTAATATAATATCCTTCCTTCTCCAAAACGTTAGCTGACAGACATTTGGGACACATATTGTGCTGATTTTCCACAGAACTGGCAACACATTCTAAATGTACAACATGTTTACTAAAGATGTTAGCCGAAATTATTTCACTTAGTAAATGATTGTCACCGAATCCAAAATGCCAAAATATTTTTTCATAGTTGCCAAAATTAACTTTATTAATTGCCGAAATTATACTCAAAATTATTTAGTTTTTTTATGTCCATCATTATGAAAATATTGTAAATCCAAAATTGCCTGCTGAAATTGATTTTTTCAAAAACCATTTCGGCCAACATCTTTAATGTTTACACAACAATATTATGAGTGACTTTGAAAATTCTAGAGAGCATTTGGGACTTTTTTTATTGGGTTGAAATTGTATTTGTGAGTTATTTTCATCCACGTCATCCACCATTTCATGATCTTCAGGTTGAATTATTAGAGAATTTATTCTAAGATTATTGACTAATATATTAGCTAGAGCCAAACCCCCATTCAACTGAGATAATTGAGATTCTGGAATTGTGGTATCAACATTTTTACCACAGCCAGGAAATGGTCATATTTTTTGTCATGTTAATGAATTTTTTTCTCAATACAATATCTATGGTATGTGTGTCCACATGCAAGGATTGTAAATGGTTCATGGCTAACTGTTAAAATTTTTTTATCACATTCCGAGCATGGTGCTAGTTTAGTAACATTGATATTTTGGACAATTGTATGGTTGGTTTCTTTTAAAATATTCAGCATGAAGATTTGGAGGTTAGAAAGAGACATGATAACAGTTTTATAATAAATCTTTATGGCAAATACACATTGTTTTATAATACTAGTAGTTTCAATGGATCATTCTGTTAAAGATGCAAAACACTACAATCGATAAATTAGTAATTTATTCTCTATGGGCGATCTCAGACGATTTTCCTACAACATCATACATTAATTAAACGTTTCTATGGGCGATCTGTTACCTTTACCAATCATAATATTTGCATAATTTCTCTGATAGGTAGGCCCTCATTCGATGTCAAAAAATAAGCTTAATGCACGGAGTGCACTTTCTCCGAAAGATCATTTTTATACAACAACAACACACACCTCTTATTTCAGAAGAAATGATATTTGTGGAGTCATGAATTTTTTTCTTGTCAAAGTGATCGGCGTGAACAATTGTTCACGCGCACGTGATTTTTCTATTTTGAATAAATCTACGCCTTATATAAAAAAATATTATCGAACATGGAATCCG